TAACATACTACAGTAAGCTATGTTCCTGGTACCTTACTACATAACATATTACAGTAAGCTGTGATTCGGGTATTTTATAGGCTATTAACATCCATGTGGTGAAATGTGTGTGTTTTGTTGTGATATCACTGATAACCTTTCAATAATTGTTGGTATTATTCACAAACTCAGACACTGACTTGCATAGTGTTTGAGAACTTCACTGGGACAAGGCCTTAGATAAAGTTAGTTTTCAGATCATTATCTAAATAAACTTGTTACATTTCTTTTTTAATCCACAAAAACTCAACTTGTAGCTCCAAACAATAATTTTTGAGTTGAAGCTTTTATTTTATGTAGTCCTTTGGTAATTACATAACTTACATACCATGAAAGATTGAAATTCAAATATTAAACATACAGCGTAATGTACATTATTGTTTTGTCTCTTATTTTTAGGTGCATATGTTGGTACCATCTTTCTTAGAAAGAAATCCTTGTATGTTTACATTCAAGATGCAATTGAAGTCATGCACTATCGGCAAAAAGTACATACATAATAAAATATACAATGTTTTCAGTTTGCCAATGACTTGTAAAATCTCGATCTGATTGAATCCAATATATTTAAGAAAATTCCATTAAGAATTGAAATATTGTGAGTTAAATGGTAGAAAAAAAGTTACAACAAAGTATTTTAAGTGGCTGATTATTTAACATGGTTACCATTTGTTAGCAGCCTATAACTACAAGTCCTGCCTCCTGTTTCTAAGGCCTTGAGATAAAATTCCACAAACAGTCCTTCTTAGTACTACACACCTGAAGACAACAGCAGAGTAGCCACAAAAATATACCATTAAAATTAGTTAAAAAACTAGATTAACATTAAGGTTGTTATTAAAAAGGAAAATAGTTAATTAACATGACAAGACACCTATAATGTTCAATATTAAAAAAAACAGACATATAATGTGGAAACAAAAATTAAGAATTGCTCTTTTCACAAGAAGAAACATCTTAAAAAAATAATACGATTTAACAGAAGCATATTTAATTGGGAAAAGAATTATATTAAAATGTTGTATTATTATTATTAGTGAGTTGCAGAGTAGAGAGACTGCTAGTTTCAGAACACTGGCAGCTGAACTAGAGATGGATGTGGAACGACTTCGACATCAGTTGACTAATGAAAAGTTTGAAAGGTAGTTATTCTAATTTATTTTGCTGTAATTAAAATGTTCCATGACTATATAAGGATTGAAAATGTTTCTCCAAATTACTAAGTTTTTCTAACTGCTTTTTACTTTTATGATGTTATGCATTTGGCTGTCCTGACATTAGTTGCAATAATTAGTTTTAAAACTAAATTTAAGTTCTTCTATTCATCATACTCAGAGGTCACAATATCAAGTTTAAATATTATAATTTTTGCTATTCAACCTACCCCCAAAAACATGATATCAGTTTTATATATCATAAGTTCTGGTGTTTGGTATACTCAGAAAATGCAATATTAGTTTTACATATCATAATGTTGTAAATGTTTCAATAATTGGATGGGTTCTTTTGGATTATTTGGTGAAAATAATGTTAAATTCAGTTCACTAATGAATTAATTTATTTCTTATATAACATTTGCTACAGGCTGTGTTCACTTTCACACAAGTTGTAAGCCAACCTTCATAAACAATGGTTAAACAGAAATTCTGAGACTAATGGTATGCCTAACTCACAGATCAATTTACTTAGGGAATTTCTTTGCTAATAGATTGATTAACCTTGTGTGTATGACAAGGGGTTAAATTATGCATGTCACAACATTTTTTACAGAGTTACATTCAAAATTCAATTAAACAACTTTATTATCAACATATATCAATAAGCTTGACATCCAAGCATAGTTCATAATTCATATTTTGATATTATATACGTTTTAATTTCAAAAGAAAATATTTCAATTCATTATCAATCTTCACTTTTCTGTATTATATGACACTTCTCCATTCCAAATTGCCTATTTTAGATATTCTTTCTATACCTATGTAATATGAGTTTGGCACAAATTACACACTTATAGTATAAATATTGCTAAGCCATAATATAAATCTGTATTCTCCAATTTTCTTGCTTTACAGAAGAATAAATAAGAAAGTTAACATCACATGGTATGCCCTTCCCACTACATCTTGTCTTTCAAGAATATCAGTAATTCTCTCTGACATTTTCTGTTGGATCATTTATAACCAATAGAAAGAGAAGATTCTAAATTACTGAATGTTGATAACGGTAACTGATTTAAATGATAGATTTTGAAAATTTTGATCTCAGCTTCATTGTTTACATGATTCCCACAGGTCAGGGAAACTCAGAAAAGTCAGTGGATCTTATATTTTTTGTTCGCAGTTTGGAAAGCTTCATTTTACAGACAGAAACCCGGAAAAGTCAGTGAATTTCATGGTTGAGAGATGCTTGTAGGACATGGATGGTGAAAACTAGATTATCATTAAAGCCAAAAAATCACATATAGGTTTGGTATGATGGATTTAGGTTCTCAGTTTATGCATTTTATGCAGAAACATAACTGTTTACTGTCAGTTGTTGTGGAGTATGAAGGCAGCCATAATAGATAATCTTTCAAGTTTCCATTGGCCTCATTAGTGAACTAATTAATGAGCTGTCGTTAACCTTTCTGGTAGATAAATATACAATACCATTCCATCCCAGTTATCTGATGCCATTATCTGTATCCTTTTAATGGGAAGTCTAGCCTTAAAATAAACATCCTGACAAACAATTCACCAGGATGATGCCTATACACTTAGATTGGAATATGTTTGTCTGATATATTAATTTCTAACCTTGGGTTTTCAATGCTATTTCATAACTCTGAATACCAGTAATGGGAACAGTCTCTTTTCATGTAATACTGGTGACCAAATAACCGCATACAAATATGCCACCAGACAGGCTGTAGGAATGGACTAATAGTCAATACACATGGAAATAACTGTACACTTATAATTTTTTTTTAGAACAATTCCATAATTTTGAAATGATTTTGGCTTTACTGTGAACTTGTAAACCTGATGAGTAAAAGGTATTGTCATTTGTGGCTTATAACAAAACCAAATTTTTGAAATGCTCTTTGTGTACATTTTTTAGCTGCAAACAGCAAGTTATATGGCCTTCACATAGCAGTCAGTGTTGTATAACTTAGGAATAATCAAATTTGTTCATAACTTTCAGTATTGTATACTAGTCATTAAATAAGATTACCACAAATGTGATAAAATAATGTTGTGTTATTAATTTTTGCCCAAAAAATATTATTTATATATGACTTAAATTGATACTACAGTTCACTTGCTTAATCTGATTCATAACATAAAAGTTGTTGTTCGTGAAATTTGGTGATATATATAGCACTTAGATAGGTTTGTTTATGAACTTCATTATTGTATTACCATAGTAGTCATCAAATAATATTACTACGAGATTGATAGGTTTGTTTATAACTTTCAGTATTTTATTACCATAGTGATCATCAAACAAGATTACTACAAGTTTGATATATTTGTTTATAATCTTCAGTATTATATGTTGATTCTCTTTTATTAAAACAATTTTGAATATGTAAGTCACATGACAACCACAACCAATATAAAACTGCCATAAAATGGCATGTATCAAAACTACATTTTGACATTTGTTTGGTAATTTATAAGTATTGTGATGATACTGAAAATCGATTGCTTTTAGGAAGGATATGTAACAGCCCTTTCTGGTGCAAAATAGTCATACCTTCACATCATAAAGATGTGTTCAGATCAGGCATTTAGAATTTCTAAGATAGGGATATCCCTTGTACCTCATGGCATTGAAAAACAAAAGAATATGGATTAACTTGGGGCACCAGAACCATCCAGAAAGAAACCTGCAACATGTCATACTTCAGCAAATGTAAGCAAAGTGTGGTATCTTGGAACACATGAGAATCCACAAACACAAAAGTCAGTAGCAGAATCTGTCCACATGCCACAAGCAACATAATCACCAATTGCAGCAGCTTCGAATTTCTTTGTGATCAGACTGTTAAAACAGGTGCTGAGAAACCATCTTCATATATTAGATGACTTATGGAAAACAAGCAAGGACCAGTGTTTTGATTTTGACATTACAACCTTATGACAAATCCTTTTACAATGGCAACTATGCTGAAGAGCTATTCTCAAGATGCATGATCATCAGCTAAAGCATGACTGAGTTTGACTACATGTACTGTAATAATGTGGTGAGGCTTCAAAGTTGTTTTAGTATAAGATGCTCAGCCTCTGTATTTTGTGTAAAGGTCACCAAATACATTTATCGGTTCATATGTAAACCTTGGTAGTTTTATATAAACTTTTCTTGCTATGTAAACAACAACAAACAAAGTGTTTATTATTTTTTGTTTAGAAACATATGCTATTGCCCACGTGCTTTCACATAATGTATTCTTAAAATTTCCTATTATAAAATGTTATAGTAATATATAATTTTCATTCAAGAGAGAGAGCCAACCAAGAACTTCGGTTGATACGACAACAGCATCAAAGCTATATTTCTGAGCTGCATGGTAAAAATGCTCGATATGATCCGGTTTCTTCAGGGTTTTCCTCAGTCTCAGCTACACCTGGATTTGGACTTCTTACTCATTTATCTTCAAGTAAAACTCCCTCTAGTAGTGCATCGCTCAATTATCCAAACCAGCACAAAAACAGGATTTCATTATTCAAGTGCCATCAGGTCTAGTATGATAAGTTCAACCAAAAAGGATATAGACATTAATACTCCCTCACAGTTCTTTACTGAGAGGGTTAGACTTCGGCATGTAAGTGGAACCAGCACAGGTGGAAACAATACTAAGCCACCTGCCACCACCTTCTCTCCTGCATCAACTTCAGGATTATCCTCCCAGTGTACAAGTTCCAAGGAATCTCCAGTAACAGAAAACATACTCCCTGAGCCTCATAAGTATGTGTTGATAATTACAGAAATTATTAGTGTTCAAATTATTATGTTATGAAACAGTTTTTCCACTTTCAAGTTGTTAAATCAGCCTAGGATGTAGCTTTCATGGGAAAATTTAGGCAACTTGGAATAAAGCTTACTATAGTATTTTATACAGACTGTAAGAAACAAGAATCACAAATATTTTAGTGTGTTATACAGACGATAAAATATCAGGATCACAGATTACTGTTCTATGTTACATAGCCTACAAAATACCGAATCACAGCTTACTGTAATATGTTATGTAGTAAGGTACCAGGAACATAGCTTACTGTAGTATGTTATATAGCCCACAAAATACCCGAATCACAGCTTACTGTAATATGTTATGTAGTAAGGTACCAGGAACATAGCTTACTGTAGTATGTTATACTTCATTCTAATGTTAACTATTTCAGTACAACTTAATATAAGGTAATATAACATTTTATGTTAAAAGTTCTTCAAGACTAATAACTGCATTTTTCAGATGGTATGGCTACCATAAATGTTTATTATGCAAATTGTGTTCAGCATGTGCTTAGATGTTATTCCAATAAATATCCATACTCTAGCCATGTATAAATAATATGTTTCAACATATTAATGTTTATTTGTCCCATTATTAAGTGATAACAAACTCCTCAAGTTTTGGAATAGAGTATTTTTTAACTAATAAGGTAATGGTATCCTGTAAAATGCTCTTCTCTTTTTAGTTATTTATGAATATACTGTATAATAATTATAAAAACTTGTGTGCAAAAATATGGACCAGAAGAAATTTCTAAAATATTACTGGAGATAAGTTTTCAAAATATGCACAATTAACTTTGTGAATCAATGGATATCTGCATGAGTAACATCCATGTGGTGATTATGTGTTTTGTTGTGATATCACTGCTAGCCTTTCAGTAATAACTGTTGGTATTATTCACAAAATTTCAAGTAACAGTTGATATCTGTGTGTAACATCCATGTGGTGAAATTTGTGTGTTTTGTTGTGATATCAATGATAACCTTTCAGTAATAACTGTTGGTATTATTCACAAAACTTCAAGTAACAGTTGATATCTGTGTGTAACATCCATGTGGTGAAATGTGTGTGTTTTGTTTGATATCACTGCTAGCCTTTCAGTAATAACTGTTGGTATTATTCACAAAACTTCAAGAATCAGTAGATATCTGTGTGATGTTGAGCTAAACAGTCACAAGATGTTTCTGTTAGTAAGCATATTGCAGTAGCATCTGTAGAAGGCATGTAAAGGCTTAATTCATAATAATATCTGATGTTGAGCTAAACAGTCACAATATGTTTCTGTTAGTAAGCATATTGCAGTAGCATCTGTAGAAGGCATGTAAAGGTATAATTCATAATAATATCTGATGTTGAGCTAAACAGTCACAAGATGTTTCTGTTAGTAAGCATATTGCAGTAGCATCTGTAGAAGGCATGTAAAGGTATTTAGCTCAACATCAGATATTATTATGAATTAACAGTCACAAGATGTTTCTGTTAGTAAGCATATTGCAGTAGCATCTGTAGAAGGCATGTAAAGGTATAATTCATAATAATACCTGATGTTGAGCTAAACAGTCACAAGATGTTTCTGTTAGTAAGCATATTGCAGTAGCATCTGTAGAAGGCATGTAAAGGCTTAATTCATAATAAGATCTGATGTTGAGCTAAACAAAGTCACACAAGATGTTTCTGTTAGTAAGCATATTGCAGTAGCATCTGTAGAAGGCATGTAAAGGTATAATTCATAATAATATCTGATG